CACAAAAAACAGTTCTAAACCAAGGATAACTGTCAGGAGGGAATAATCCCCATATAACTCAACCTGGGGTGTCATCCCCTTTGCCTCAATCATTAACCCAGCTTAGGTTAATGTCTTTCTCCCCCTTAACCCTCTGAGGGTTGGCTTGACTCTCCCCTGGAAGAACCTTTCAACAGGTCCAGGTACCAGAGAACCTTTCAACAGGTCCAGCCCACACCAGGAAACCTTTCAACAGGTCTGATGTGCCCGGGTCACACCAAGAAGAGAAAAATTCTCATTATAAATTTACAGAGAAGGGATAGTCACCATTTGACTCGCCCTCGGTATCAGTTTTAGAATACACCAATTACTCCACCACATCCAAAGGGGGGGAGGGGAGTAACCCAGGTTTTATCAATAATTCCCTTGGGGTGGATTAAAACTAAATAATCAGTGTCTGAAAACATATATTGACAAGGTTTATTTTAACAATTTTGAATCAACAGGTATGCTAGCATTTTGGGTGCTGTCATAACCTTTCGGGGGGAGGAGAAAAATGCATAGGGGAGAGAAAGACAGGATAAGAGTAAGGGAAAGAAAAGCTGAGAATGGACAGATGTATATAGTCACCGCCCATGGGGTCCAGCGATGAAACTTGATAGTTGCAGCTTCCATGTCTGTCAGTTGAAGTGGTGGCCTTGATCCGCTGGGGGTGAAGGAGGGAAGCCCCCACACTCCAAGAAGTTATGAGTTATTGTATCCATGGTCAGTGTCCCGGGCCATGCCTTGAGCCTCCAAGGTCTGCTGGGCCTGCGCAAGAGCTGCTGTGTCTGGCCTGGTTCCTGCCCTTTTCGGGACTGGCAAAAGGGGGAGGATGGGCTCCTATGGGCCATCAGAGGTCCTGCACCTTCAGGGCCCGACACCTTCAATTGCCCATCAGAGGTACAATGCAACAGTCCAAAGCCTGCAAGCTCCGCTCTTGCCTTTTCAGGGCTTCACACCTTCAGCACTGGAGGGAGGGAGGGGCTGGATTGCTCATCAGAGGTGTAATGCAAGTCAAAAGCCTGCAAAAGTCTCCTAGAATGCATAAATCATCAAACATTTCAGTATCTGACAGACACTTTGGGCCATTTTTCCATTGAAATTAAATAGCAGGGTGCTTTTGAGTGTGCTGTAAGGAGTGGAAGGATTTATTACCTTGACAGAATTACAGGTGAATGTGTTTAGAGAGGAGTCCTCAGCAACAAGAACAGCTCTTTGGATAAGTGGCCACATCTATTCCTGCTTTCTTTGGTAGAGATTCAGGAATTCTGTCCTTTCTTTCTCCCTGAAGTGCAGTGGTTCACTTACAATGGGCAGTTTTTCAGAGTGTAACACACTTGTGCATTTTGTAATATCCTGGCAGCATGTTTGATATTCAAGGTGTAACAGGCTGTTCATAAAATAATGCTGG